TTTTTTTTTTTTTTTTTTTCATTAAAGAAATTTTCCTTTTGTTTAAAAAGATAATATTTCTTTAAATGTTGATTTCATTTAAATATTTTTGGTGTCGACTTTTGTTTCAATTCCTGAATTTACTATATCTATTTCCATTTTCTTGCCTATTAGGTTCTTTAACCCTTTTTTCTTTTCTTTTTTTCATTATATGAGAGTATAATTATCTTTACATATGTGATATTTAATATTTTTATAAATAAACAAGAAAGTATAGATTTTTTAAAACAAGGTACTCATAATCTCGCCTTTTTCTTTCAAAACCTCAACCCGTCTAGAAAAAGGCAAATAATCTGGTAGATTATTTTTAATAGTCTATTAGATTATTATTTTTTATTTGTAACTAAAAAAAATGTCAAAGGTCTCCGATGATTAGAGGGGAATTTTTGATAGATCATTTTTCTCATAATCAACCAGATTATTTTTTTTAACTAAAACATCTCGGAGTCGGGAGTTACTTATTGGTGGACTACGTAGGCATGTTGGGTCGAGACGTGTGGTACATATTTTTATGGACCCGTGGATTCTTAAGACTACACATTTTCTAGCTTAAATCACTTCAATGACCGAGGAAATGAGCGATTGGTTGGTGGAGGATTTAATTCCTAATAGACAATAGAACTAGGAGCTTGTCCATGTGGAGGCCATGCCGGCTAGATCTCCCTGTGCAGTGTTGCGGTAGCCAAATCTCTTTGGCGGTGGAGCTTCACAAAGTTCGATTGACCTCATTGAGCTTACTATCCGTGCTATGTTGTGTTGACGTGCACAAGATCTCATCGCCGATTGTCAACTATCCTCCATTTGTGATGTTCTCAGCCCATCTCGGCGCCACCGCCGCCTTAATTAGTCTTTGGCGGTGTTTGGCAAAACCCTAGATTAGATAAGTTAAATGAACACATGATATTGACACTAGGACTTCTTAAAATGGTGTGTATCAATGGGAAAATAAAAACTAGTACAAACCAATTGTCTACTCTCAAACGTGGTTTAGAGCACAATTATCTCCCTTGTTATCGTGGGATAAATAATAAATGGGCCAATAAAAAAAAAAGAAAAGGGCCAAACTACTTAAAATGTTTGTGCTTTGATTCCTTATCCTTTCTTTCCCATGTGATTAGATAGATAAGAAATGACCATGAAATTGGTTTCTTGTTTTTTTGCTCTCTCTTTTTTATTAAAAAAACGTAACATGCAATTCAATCCACACGCGACTAAAGCAAACACCATTCACCAACTAGTAGTAGTAGTAGTAACAACCAGAAGGAGCAACAACTGTTGTGGGACCCTCAACAAATCCGCCCAATGAAAACATCATACGTGTGCCCAATCAGATCCCCATCATCACCATTCCCCTTTTGCCCTTTTTCGTTTCTCTCTTCTTCGTTCATTCTCATATTTCTTACATTTCTTCAGTTTGACACACAAATGCAGGCAAAACAAATCACTCACATTGAATGCGCTAACTTCACCTGCGATTCTGTTTTCCCTTTCGTGGACTTCTGTTTTTATGGTAAGCTCTTCGGACCCCATTTTGTGGTAACTCCTTTTTTTTTTTAAAGCTGATTTAGCGTTCTGGTTTGTGATCTCGTAATGAAGAAATGTCAAATCTACTGTTCATTGCATATCCAATAGTTGGTTCTACTTCTACATCTTATTTTAATAATGCCCATTTGATTACTTTAGTTCGATCTTCTGTTTTTATGAGTTTAAATCTGGTTTCTATTTTTTGTTTTTTTGTTTTGTTTTTTTGTTTTGTTTATTGTGTAATGGGAACAACCATAAATTTTCTGGTGCAGTTTTGCGTTTTAAATTTATTGGTTATAAATCTCTTGGTTGTGTCGTTTTCTTGGTTAGAAGCATCTGTTGCCTGGTAAAGTTGTTGAATCAAATTTTAAGGACAATGAAAGTAATGAAAGTTGTTTGAATTTCTCTGAGCTTTTTTTATTTTTTATTTTTATATAATTTATTTATTTTTAATTTTATTCTCCGGCTTTTTATCTTTGTCTAGAGAACTTTAAGTGAAAGTTTCCTTGTCTAGATCATTATTAACGTAATCAAATTATGTATCATGTGTGACATACAACTCTTTTTTTTTTCTTTCTTTTTTTAAGGATGTGGTATCCTCTAAAGAAAACAAGTAAACAAAAAAATTCAAAACAATTACAGGGTCTTTAGAGATTATCAGAAAAGCCCAAGGAAGACATGTATTTATTTCTTCCAAAGTTAGAAATTTACTCCATCTGTTTTTCTTCATAAATTCTATCCCATTCCTCTCCCGCAGTAGAGCCATTGCCATACTTCTCCAAATACTCGTGGCGATCTTAATATATGGCCTTTTCACCAGCACAAAGCTACACTGCTTAGGAAAACCCCACTGAAATCCTGACTCCCTTAACAAAGTAACCCGTAAACTCCGAGATACTTTATAGTGTAGGTGAAAATGAGCGATGGATTTCACCATTCTTTGCACTTCACAGATGAAGAAGAACAGATAACCAAATGTGGATTCTTCCTCTGGATCATATCCTAGGTGTCAATCTTCATATGAAACACAAGCTAAAGCACTTTAATTGTATATAAGGAGCAATAGATTTCAAAACAAAGTAAAAGGGCTCGAATTTGGAACAATTAATTTTGCCAATGAGTAAACAGGAAGTGATTTACAACAGAATCCAAAAGGGTCGCAAGACCCTCGTTTATTGAAGCTAGACAACAATGAAATCATGTCCAGAGTTTCTGTATCATTTAGGTTCCTTCTAACCTGAAAGATCCTAGTAATCTCGTTATTGGAAGAAACAAAGGAAGTCTCTTCAATGGGAGCTTTGAACAGAAGTCAACTGGTATGGTTTAGGATGAGAAAGAGCCAATGACTTTTCACCCGCCATAAATCTTTTGAAAACGATTTCATAGCCCATTCCCACTCCCCCGCCCCCCAATTTTTTTTTTCAAAAAAAAAAAAACTTAAGGAAAGATTCAGTCCCTTGGGAAATAAATTTCCCGGTGTTCCTAAATAAGCCTTTAGTCATTCATTACATTTGATTCCCAACAAGTAGGATGTAACCCATATTTACTTCTAATGACCATACCCCACAAATAATTTTCTTCTAGAGGGAATATTTACAGCCATTTTCTCAAGAGCAACATTTTTCATTCTCAAGTTACCTATCCCTGAACCACCTTTAACTTTTCTTCTAACAAGCAAGTCCCAACCCACTAAATTATCCACATTACCTTCACTTTGGCCTTCCCACAAGAATCCCCTCATAAGCTTTTTAAAAATCCTTGTAACAGAACTTAGAAATCTAAAAGTGAGGCGTCATATACAATATGAATGGTATAAACTTTCTAGAATATACTTATTGTTGTTTCAATAATCGTGCAGAAAGAAGTTTGAATTTTTTAAAGCGCCCATAAGAGTTCTTGGAACTGACTGGACGAACGTGTGAAATGGAGAATATTTTTCTCAGAGAATATCTCTGGTGCTTCGTAGTGCTTAATTTATTATTTTCATGAAGTTAACAATAATAACGAGGGAAAAATGAAGCAGTACATATCCATGATTTACTGTAGGATAAACGAATGCTGACGGTCATTGTTCTTGTTTGCAACAGACTGGATTAGGAGGTTGGGTGGGCGTACTTAAAGCTTTTAGTTTGTCTTGTCAATGAAAAATATAAGAAGTTTATTTGTTAGTCAATTAAAGCAAATGTTCTGTTCTCCTTTGGTCCTATAACTAACGTTCCTCCATAAGCTACACAACTTTTTGCAGTATCGGTATTTTGTTGTTACTAGTACTTCTTTGTCATTTACTGAAAAATGAAAATCAACTTCTCTCGCAACAAACAAAGTTTTCATATTGACCATTAGAAATTCCAATGAACAAACAAGAATTGTGAATGGAAGTTTTCTTTCTACTGCCTTGTCTGTTTTCCACATTAAGCACAGAATTAGCCTAAACTAATTGGATACCTGAACCAGCATTCTTGAAGTTCTTCACAGGGTGTAATAGAATAGTCATTATAGGTTGTTTATTTATTATGCAGATAAGAATTTTGGATAAAATGTTGAACTTTTCTCAATGCTGCTAACAAAAAGCTGTTTAAGAAAAAACAAAAGAAACATAATAATCACATTCTGTTGTGGTAGTGGCATCCATCTCTATCTTCGTGGCATTTCTGTTCTTTATGCTAATATTTTTGTATATGCTTGTTGAAGAGAAGATACTTGTGGAAAATGCAGAGCGAGTAAATGTAAAAGAAATTACGGAAGGGAAATAAGATCTGTCGGCTAAACGTGAGATCCAAGGAATATTTTCATGATGGCAATCTCAGATGACACAGTTATGGCTATCAAGTCTTACCAAAATCAGGCTGGGGTGTTGGTCAAAAACTACTTACTAGCAGATCCCTTTGTACCATACATTTCCATTCTTGCTGGCATATTTTTCTGCAAATTGGTATTTCATTTACTTATTATCTTGACATTTAGTAATTCAGTTAGATATGGGACTTCTATGTAAAATGTGGCTGGTTTCTTTTGTTTCCATGTCAATTTGTGTTGTGTTCTTTATTCAAAAAATCAGTTCTCGAGTTTGTTTGAAAGATCATATTGGTTTCCTGGTTTCTGTAAACATACTAACTTATCCTAGACTACAGGTTTATGATCTAACCCAGTTACTCAGTAACTTTTATATCAAGAACTATGCCACTCTTACAAAAATCCAACAAATTGAGTGGAACAATCGGTGGGTTCTGTTCCCTCTTGTCATTTCTGCAACAAATATATTGTCTATCCTTGATTTATTAATATAGACTTACTAATTCAGTGTTCTATTTTGGCAGAGGTATCTCCACTATTCATGCCATTTTCATCACAATTACGTCCTTGTACTTTGTGTTCTGGTCAGATCTTTTCTCTGACAAGCGGCTTGCTGGCTTGATCACATTTCGAAGTTCACCACTGTCTAATTTTGCATTAGGGGTAATTTTACTTTCTAATTTGTCAGTATCTTGCCATAATTATTGGTAAATCTGTTTTGCGTATTGTTAAAATGACTTGGATGGTATTGTTAAAATGACTTGGATGGTTGTTGATGGATGCGTGATTATTGAGTTTTATGGTTATTTCACTATATCAAGTACGGAATAAATTTAAATTCCCTTATAAATATTGTCTATAACATGATTTCCTTTGACATAATTGATTAAGCTTACGTGGCTCATCTTTTGTCTACTCGTTTTCTGTACGTCAGTGTGATCATGCTGCAAACTTGTTAATGGCTTAAAGACTTTAACCCTGTAAGATTAAATTTAGAACAGTAATTGCTAACTTCACTCTTATACAGCTAGATATGCTATATTTTATTTTTTTGAATACTGCTATGGTCTCTGTAATCGTTTACGCTTAAGACATAACAAACTGTTTTCTTGCTTCTTTTCAGTATGTGAGCTGTGATTTTACTGCAATATTTCATCCAATGGGACGTTCAAAGTTATAATCCAGATAGGATATGCAGTGTTAGGAAATAAACTCCAGTATTGATGGACCTCCAGAAAGCTTTTTGGAGAATTTGTTATCTAACATGGTTTTAGAGCAAGTGTTACTTGATTTCAAATTAACTGAATGATTAGAAGGGTAAAAACTAAAACGTTCAATTTACCTAAATGTCGTGCGTGCTACAAAAATAAAACTCCTCAGTTCGGTAACATACTGTATATATCACACGGTTGGGCTGTAAGTGCATTTTATGAAGTTTTGTTTTGCATATCTTTGTTGCCGTTGGTGGTGGTACCGGTCCCTGTGGGTATACATCTCTCACCTGTGTATTTCCCTTTAACTGTATGGAGAATATTTACATTTACAACTCCGTTACTCGTTCTTTGGTTCTTATGTGAATATTTATTGAACTAGATGGTTTCTGACAGGTCTCTGTTGGATACTTCATTGCTGATCTTGGAATGATCTTATGGCTGTACCCCTCTTTAGGTGGAGTAGAGTATGTAAGTCTCCTCCACAAAAGAAGCTAATCAAGCTTAAATTAGTGGGAATCAACATAAAGATTTCTCTCATTTAAAATGTGTTATTTGCCAGTGCATTTCTTTGCTTTTGTACTTAGTTATAATGCTTAAATACAACTTTTTTTTTTTTTTCCCCCAAAAAAAAGAGCACAAAGAAGCTTTTGGGTCCAAATATTGTGATTCTAGCTCACCTACTTCTTCACATAGGATAAAAACCTTTTGCGTCTTCTGACCACGCATTTTCTGAGTTTGACTTCGAAGGCAGTTGTGATCCTCCTCAAATATGGATAAAAAACGGCAGAGGTCTTGTGGAATGTTTGAGGCACGAAAAGAAAAGCACAAAGTTGCATGTAGATTTGTCATTAACTAAATCAAATATCAAGGCAACATATGCACGTCTATAAAATAAATAAGAAAGTAGTTTCCATGTTAAATGCAATGATACAAATTCCTAATATGGCGATTTTCACTTTCAGGTTATCCATCACTCTCTTTCTGGAATTGCAGTGTGGTATTCCATGTTTTCGGGAGAAGGACAACTTTATACATACATGATTCTCATCTCTGAAATTACTACTCCAGAGATCAATATAAGATGGTAATTCCATGATACATTGTATTTAATTTTGGACTTTCGCAATTTGATATGGCTTTTGGTTTTAATGAAGGTATCTTGATACTGGTGGTATGAAGAGGTCGATCGCATATCTCATCAATGGCGTAGTGATTTTTTTTGCATGGCTGGTGAGTTGAAAATTCCTTGGATTAGCAGCTATTGCAATACCAAATTTGCACTGAATATGGTGGTTGGTTACTCAAGATCTATGAAAAGCTGTCTCAAGCTTTCCCAAGCGATATAAAGCTAGCACCATGAGCATCTCTACCATTGTCTTTCAAGATGACAAGATTTTATTAATTTATTTGTTTATTTATTTTGTTGTTGTTTACTACTTTTTCTGCATTAAAAAAACAGGAAGAAAATATTGCTGATGGAACTTCTGGTATGCAGGTAGCTAGAATACTGCTGTTTGGCTATATGTTTTACCATGTTTACTTGCATTACGATCAGGTAATTAGTTACCATTTAAGTTTTGAGTTCCAGTGATTTTAGGGGTCTTATGATCTTAAATAATTCTTTTCTTTATCTTTTTTCTTTTGGTGTGATGCTATGTTTGAACATAATTCTTTTCAGTGGTTATAATGGTCACAAAAAAAAAAAAAAAAAAAAGAATAACAAATTTGGATTTCCGTCAACATTTTGCCGTTTTTTGCTTATTACAGGAGAAAATTCTTTGTTCTACTTTTCTTTGGCATCTAGTGATCAACTGATTTCACGTCTATTTTAGTCATTAGATTTTCTTTGTCACGTTGGAAAAGTTTACAATTCTAAGTTAATTTTCGTCTTTTAGAATGGAAGAAAAAAACCTCCTCCTTTATCGTTATTCCACCACTTAAATTTAAAAATCAACAAATAGTTTTTTTTTTTTTTTGCTAGCTAATAAGGTTTGCTCAATTATTGGCATAACTTGGCCTGGATGCAACACTTGGCTTTAATCTTAACATTATTTCAAACGATATCGACTCTTATTATGTTTTCTTGACACCGTTGAACATCCTTAGTTGCAAACAGATAATCCGGTCGTAATTTTTCAAGTTTTTTGTTTTTTTTTTTGTTTTTGTTTTTTGTTTTTTTTTTTTTTCCACTATGAATTGTAATGTGACAACTCCAAAATTGTTCAAATGCTTTTGTCACACCAGTTTGTGAATTTTGATGGGTTTGGCAGGTTATCCAAATGCACATTTTTGGATATCTCTTGGTCATGGTGGTGCCATCAGTTCTAGCTATAATGAACTTCGTGTGGTTTGGAAAGATTCTCAGGGGATTGAAGAAGCAATTAGCTAAACGGCAATAATGGGTACGATACAAATACAACTTTGGACTTCATATAGCCCTTTCTGGTGCATTCTTTTATATTCTTTACTGTAAAAATGATACTGGGGTGGGGGTAAAAAGCCAAAATGCTTCTGATTATCAGTTGGTTGAGGAACCAGCTACTTGTAAATGATTGAAGAGTTGTGCATATTGTCCGAGTCATCTCTCTAGTTTGGTAGCTTTCTTCCTCTCGTGAGTTCTGTGCAGATGTTGTCTTTTCCCATTTATAAAAAATGGAGAAATTTCCGGCGACAGGTTGAATGGAAAAGCGGCAATGGCCGATTTCTTCTTCCTATTACTAATGTATTCCGTGCGAGTATATTTTCGATCGCGTGGTTTAAGATTTAGATCTCGTCGGTTCATTTTGAGAATACTGTTTTCTTCTCCAGAAACCTGGGATCCATGCTACCTCTTCGGAAAAATTTCTCGGGTCTCTTGTCTTTGCAAGTTTTCCGAAATTGCTCGTCATCTGAACATTTTTTAGTCCTTGAGATTTCTCTTAATATGAAGAAGCTGAATAAAGAATAAGGCCTTGATAGGAGCGGCTTAAAGTACAATCAAAACTGGATGTGGATCATGTGGTTGGTTTTAAAAAAAGGGTGTCTTGGATAAAAAGAAAACTGGACTAAATGGCATTCTTCAAGGATCTGTCAAAAGCCAAAGTGTGGCAGATATCTATTCGTATTTGGAATGGTTGGGCTGTGTGTGTGTGTGTGTGCGCCGTGCGTGTGTGTATATATATAGAGAGGCAAAAAAAAAAAAAAAAAAAAAAAAAAAAAAAAAAAAGAAGAAGAAGGAATTGTATGTGAAAACAACTTTTGGAGATTGTAGTCCGTTCATTTTACCGATTTGAATTTAGAATTTGAGTGTTGCTACAGTAAAAGGCTCTCAAAAACAGTCACATATTTAACTTTTTTATTACAGTAAAAAACTTTCACAGAAAATTACATCTAAACTCGAATTAAAAACTCAAATCAGCGAATTAAACGGCTCGGCATTTTTCAAAACCATCTTTTATATAGAGTTGCCAACTGTATTTAGATTCCCCGCATCAAGCCTAATGTGTGTAAACTGAAGAAGCCAATAATCTAGACCTAATACAAGCTCTTAACAACCAAAATCAGCTTAATCTACGTGCATTCGTGGCAGAAGGGTGATTCCTTTGTCATGACCACCGGAGGTCATGATAATTCATATGCTCATCAATTGTAGGACGACACCTGTCACTAGCAGCAACGTAAAAGCCATTTATCTTAAAATGTAATTATTCTTCAATTATCATATTGTATAATTTATGATTGATATTCACACGTTAGACATGACCATGTTGTCTTACAACTCTCCATTCTCTAAGGTATAATAAACTCATTCATGCTACCTAGATATAGTCGGAATATAATGTGTCAATTTCACTGAAACATGTTAGAAGTTTCTCTAGAAGAACACGATTTCGACTATGTCCGAAAAGTTGCGCTGAAAAATAGAAAATTTTCATGAAATTCAAGATGGAGTCAATGTACTATTATCAAAGGCTCGTTTAGTTCGCTGATTTAAATTTTTAATTCGAATTGAGATGTAGTCGTGAGAACTTTTTACTGTAGTAAAAAAGTTAGATGTGACTATTTATGAGAGTTTTTTACTGTAGCAAAACTCGAATTCTAAAATCGAATCGGTGAAATAAATGGGGAGTTTGGCAACTCGTAGAGGCACCTAGAAGTATTCAACTGATCATATGCAAATGGCCGTTATGTTGAAGAAAAGGAGGAAAAAATGAGAATGTTGAGACCTTTAAAAATCCTTCTCGCTTGTGGTTGTGCTAAATTACATAAGAATATCTCTTATTCATAGCTGTACATCTCGATTATGAGATATGAGAAATGGACTTTTGAGACTACTTTTTCTTAAAGACTATCTTGAAGAGGACTCTTAACGTGGCTAAGGACCAAAAGCACAACTCTTATAAGTTAAACAAGTGGATAATTAGTTGGAATCTGATTTGGTTTGACAAATCAGTCATATTGTTATAGCTTCTCGGCATCTAAAACTAACCCATTTAGTATTTGTGGTTTATACATCTATCTGAAATTGATACGAAAATTAAATAATCCGATCAAACTCATTTGTTTAATGTCATTTTAGGTTGGAAATTGTTGGCCTTATTCTCCAGCTTCTCTAAAGCTTTTGTTTTTTTTGTTTTTGTTTTTTTTTGGCTTAATTGCTGTCATTTAAAAAAAGGGGAAAAAAAAAAAATTTGATTCAGCACAATCAAAATCGAGTGATTAGGTATTGGTGGCCAAGATAGTGGCATATCCGCATAATCTCGTTGGACTTCGACTAGCTGCAAAAGTGACAAGGGTCCTTTTGAGTTTAATAATCTAATCAATTATAAAGTATTTACTTATCGCGTATGATTTCCAGTAAAGCTAAATATAATACGCATAATGCAATCATTAAACAGCAGTTAAGATTCTTTCTCCAATTGATACATTGGACTTTGATATTATTGCATAGTTGTTGTCATGAATATCCGATCTGATTAATCATTTCAGCATAAAAATAATCTGGTCTAAGTACATTTAACGGCTTGTAAAATCTAAACTATAGACTTCAAAATGGCACTATATACATACTAATCTCTTGTGGAAAGAGATTTAAAAAAGAAAATAGAAAACTATATTCGATAGTACCTATGTTTGCATATAAAAAATTGTAGATGTCTCATTCTCATGGGTGCCACTATCTCGATAGCAGAATTCTTGAGCATGAAAACAACATAACTTTAACTGTAAGATCAACAAACTTTAAAGAATGCAATAATCTATGTTGGATAATACTGTAGGTTATATTAGGTGCAATTTATTGATGTGGTAATCTTTTAAACACACACCAGCCAAAAAAACAACAAAACAAAAAAAAAAACTCAGATTAATTAGTAGAAAAGTTAAAATTAGAGTTAATAACCTTAGCATTATTCGACTATGTTTATGTTTAACTTATATATATTGATTTCCATATTTAAGATTGTTGTTTTCTCTATAAGGAATATCAATACCATAATTAAGGTTTTTGTTGTCCTAGTGAACTCAAACTAAAGCATTATAAATTATCTGAATGGCATTTTTTTTTTCCAGTTTGCTTTTGCTTTTTTGTTATTAATGTTAGTGAATCTAAGTCATAATTCTACTAATCTTTAGGAAATTAGAGATGATCATCACAACTTTCTAGTACATATATGATATGCATTGTTACAAAGCGGGAGCAAACTCTAACAAGTTAAATTTCTTTACCAAAATTTTAGTTCAGAAAGACATTATTAATGATACCATATAATTTGCGTCTATCTTTTTTTTTTTTTTGTACCGGCAAAAAATATATAAATAAATAAAAGAAATTGCATCTCTTTTGTACCATATTCTCTTATTTTGGTTTCTTGTGTGAGATAACTTGAGCCATGCATGGCTTTAAAAATAAATAAATAAATAAATAAAGGAAGAAGAACTTGAGCCATGTGTGGGCGAACAAGCCTATTTATACTTCTCACTACGTATAGATTTGCATGCACTTCTCTTTAAAACAATCCAAAGATTATGCCGCTCATGATCACAATTGAAGTGGCATAATATGAGCCGAAAGATTAAAATACATATGGTACATGTTTTTATTTATCTGATTTATATAAAATGATATAGTTGTGTAAATAACTCGTTCAGTGACCAACCTTTGTACCGTTCACATTGCAAAATTGGTTTGTACAAGAATTGAGGATTGGGAAAGTGGAATCTAACTACATTTGGTTTTTAAAAGGAATGCATGGAAATATCAATTCCCTACGCTTCAAGCAAGAGAAACTATCATAGCATTCATTTGACTCGTAGAACGCCACAAGGACAAACTTATTCATCCAACACTCAAAGCGAATAGGTGTTACAAGTTTCATCAAGCTAGAACCTAGTAAAGCTGACGTCATAATGTTACAATTCGCGACTATAATAAACAGCGTCAACATGTCATCGTTACAACCTAATGATGACTGCTTGTCGTCGCTATAAGATTTTTAGCGACGGATTTTTAGCGACGATTAAAGACGTTTTAATGATATGATATTATTAGCTTAGTAGGTCTTTTCCTTGTAGTGAAGCTTCCACTTTCTACTAGATCTGACACTCATATATAAAATGTCTCTTCCCGTATAAAGGTAGTTAGATCGAGAAAGGCTATAGAACTAAAAGCCTGTATGGGCTGGCTAAAGGTGTGTAATAAGCTACCTAGAGACTCCCTATAGTGTACCCCACTATTTCTGGTCCGTTAATTAAAACAATAAAACAGAAAAAAAAAAAAAAAAAAACACTACAATACATGACATGCTCTATCGCGTGCATTCCAATATTTCTATATGTGCATTCCACTATCTTACTGAGAATTTTGAACTACGAACTCTATAGAATAATTGCATACGCACATCACTCCATTAATTTCCTTAAAACCTGCTCCAAATACCTATCAGCTTCGGGCGATTGCATGCCGTTAGTGTTATAAGTGTGTGTGTGTGTGTATATATACTTTTTTGATATATTAGTATCATATCGTACCGTTACTTGTTAGTGTTATAAGTGTGTGTGTGTGTGTATATATACTTTTTTGATATATATATTAGTATCATATCGTACCGTTACTCACTTTTTCTTCAAACCCTAGCTAATTACACTCACTTCATACCCACTCAATGGGCCATATTTTCCTGTCTATATAAGCATTCTGATATTGTGTTACTAATTCATTCACAATAGTGCATTCTACTAGAATTAGCTTGTCAGTATGGCAATATCATTCTCCAATCTTAGTACATTTTTCTTCCTGCTAGTAATCACTGAATTCTTGAACACCAATATGAGTACAACTCTAGCCAGCAGGCAAAGACGAGATACTAATTCACTAGTTCTTGGCCTAAGACACTCTAGGGAAACCCTTCCAACCCCGACAGCAAATTCCGGTGCCAAAGATCATTCAAGAACCACCGCTTCGTCGACAAAGGGACAATCAGAAGCGTCCTTCGCCGTGATGGAGCCACTGCGGGCAGTCCGAGATGGCTACATTATACCCCTATATTTAGGCACACCCCCACAAGTCATTCAAGTGTACATGGACACGGGGAGTGATCTCACTTGGGTTCCTTGTGGGAATAACCTCTCCTTCAGTTGCTTAGATTGCGACGATTATCGAAGCAACAAGTTATTAGGCGCTGCCGCCATTTTCTCTCCTTCCCATTCTTTGTCCGCACTTAGAGACCTCTGTAGTAGCTCATTTTGCATTGACATCCATAGCTCAGACAACTACATTGACCCTTGTGCAATGGCAGGCTGCTCATTGAGTATCCTCATGAAATCCTCATGTTCTATGCCCTGCCCTTCTTTTGCCTACACTTATGGTGCAGGTGGAGTAGTCACAGGAATGCTAACTAGGGATACCCTTAGGGCTCATGAAAATGTATTTAGCCCTAATCTTTCAAGGGAAATCCAAAATTTCTCATTTGGGTGTGTCGGGTCAACTTACAAAGAGCCTATCGGGATCGCGGGGTTCGGTAGGGGAGCGCTTTCCCTCCCATCTCAATTGGGGTTTCTCCACAAGGGATTCTCCCACTGTTTCTTGCCCTTCAAGTTTGCAAACAACCCTAACATTTCAAGCCCTCTAGTCATAGGAGATTCAACTGTTTCTTCTGACCGTGAAGGCAATTTTCAATTCACTCCAATGTTGAAGAGCCCCACGTACCCAAACTACTACTATATTGGTCTGGAGGCCATAACTGTGGGCAATAATTCTAGTGTGGCCCAAGTAGTACCCTTGAGCATGAGAGAATTTGACTCACAAGGAAATGGAGGTATGTTGATTGACTCAGGCACAACATATACTCATTTACCTGAGCCAATTTATTCTCAACTTCTTTCCACACTCCATTCAGTAATATCATATCCTAGATCTCAAGAAATGGAGATCAAATCTGGATTTGATCTCTGCTATCAAATCCCATACACAAGTGATCACAATAATAATAATGCTTCGACGACGTCGGGCGACTATCCCGACTTTCTTCCCTTAATCACATTCCATTTCTTGAACAATGTAAGCCTTGTTTTGTCTGGAGGAAGTCATTTTTATGCCATGGGGGCTCCGAGGAACTCCACAGTTGTGAAGTGCCTGTTGTTTCAGAGCATGGACGACGGGGATTATGGGCCGGCCGGGGTCTTCGGGAGCTTCCAACAGCAGAATGTGAAGGTTGTGTATGACTTGGAGAAGGAGAGGATTGGATTTCAACCAATGGATTGCGCTTCTTCTGCAGCCTCTCATGGACTCACTAGAAACCCTAATTTTGTTGGTTAGAAATATTTAGTTCTTGGTGGTCAGTATTGAGTTTCCTTTTCGTGATATGTTATTTTGCCATCTACTGTGACCTCTATGCACTTTTTTTCTTATTTTAAGTCAGCTTATTCTATAGATGCCATTGCCGGTATTTCTTTATTTTTTTACTTCAATTAATGAATTTGACCACTGGATTTAATGCTGGGCCATGCACCTTCAATCACATTGTTCCGATTAATTTCAAAATCCCAATATCACAAAATTTTTCTTATAATTACGCGGCTAGTAATTAGTTATAATTGCTCATAAATGATAAATGACTTACATCACTTGTTCTATAAGTGACTTTGGATGATCATGAAGAAGCAAGGATGATTTGGATATATTTCATACAACTTCAGTGAGAAAAAAAAAGGGGTAACTTAAGTGATAAATAATAGTGCTTATTTTTATATAAAAAAAGCATGTGATCCTATAAATAAAAAAATAAAGATCACATGTAGAATCGAACCGACATCCACCTACCCAGAACTCTCCTCAACCCCTATATTCATGCCATTCATTAAAGGGTCTTAGATGGTAAATAATAATAGTGCTTAAACTAAAATAAAATCTTCTCAAAAAATTTGAGGGCTGAGGCCCAGTAACTACGGATTAATGAATTTATAAATAAAAAAGGATCTTAGATGGTAAATAATAATAGTGCTTAAACTAAAATAAAATCTTCTCAGAAAATTTGAGGGCTGAGGCCCAGTAACTACGGATTAATGAATTTATAAATAAAAAAGGAAAATAGTAGAAAATAGACCGATATGAAAAGTTTAAGAAAGTATATAGGCCAATTTTTAGTTATAGAAATTAATAGGCCATAACTTGAGTTCATAACCAGATAAGTTATGGACAAACTTGTCAAGTTATGGTTCATAGCCAGACAAGTTATGGACAATTATGGGCAATAACTTGTCAAGGTATGGTTCATAACCAGACAAGTTATGAACGAAAACAGTAATTTGGCCTATTTATTAACTTATGTAAACTATTGGCCTATTAATTTTAATTCATCTCAAATCTTGGCTTATTTCCCTCTTTCTCCCAATAAAAAATTATACCGAGAGCCTCCAACTTGACGTGAAAATATTTATAATTTACTGTTGTAATTTCATATTTAGTGATTCTTCATACATTTGTAAAATTATACCTACACTCTTTTGCATTTGAACTTTTGATCTTAATATTCCCTTTAAAAGGAATTTAGACTAAAATTAAGTTATGAAAATACCATTCTGCCCTTACGCTATCAAACCTATACACGTTTGGATTAAACCTAGATTTATAAGATGTGAAGCTTAAAAAATAATTGAATCAAACAAGCATTGACCATTGCAAATGCTAACGCGGATCTGGCGCAAGGCTCACACTAAAGAGATTGTGCCTTGCAACCGGTCTAACGAGAGGCATACCGACCTAGTTAGAGCGATCTCGTCGACGTTAACCGTACTTACCGACATTAGAAGGAACAAAGAAGAAAGATTATGATTTGGTTATGTTTATATTCCTAGGATTATGTAGTTTCTAAGAATGTGAAGTTTTGCTTCAACATGGAACTACAAAAGTGAATCATATAAAATCTTCTATTTCAAAATTACAAGGTATGAAAATATGGCTGGCTCGCAATACATGGTCGATCCGCCATTGAATTTAGCATATGGAAGAAAAATGAACGGGCCAAGTTATTCTAAAAATAAAAAATAAAAAATAGTTTCTTGACTTCGATTAATTAATGTCACGTATTGACATGTAAGAACTTTATTCCACTAAACTATAACAAAAGAAACATCAGGCAGGACTTAATTTAGGGGTAAAAAGAGTAAGAAATGAAGGGGAAGAAATCTAGAGTTTCTTCGAGACGTCTTTCATCAAGTCAGGATTGGCCAATTGGAATGCATACAATTCATCGAGCGAAATGAAGCCGTCGCCATCCTTGTCTATCTCAGCCATTCTGCGGTGAACTTCATCCGGTGAACCTGAGCCGAGAGAATTCAGCGCATCAGCCAGCTCCGTCCATGAGATTTTTCCGTCGCCGTTTGCATCGAAACGCTTGAAGATTCGCTCACATTGCGCCCTTTCCTCTGTAAGTTCAGCCATTGTTGTGGTTAGCTGTATAAGACTTTCTTATTTGATCCGTTTGGTTGGCTTCGTGGTTGGAGAGTGTGGCAAGAATATGTTGAAAATGTGAACGTAAAGAATGAGGCATTTATTTAAGTTGACACTTGAATGAGCCTAATCTTGGTTGTCGTTTTGGACCCGGTTATGTTGCAGCTTTAGAAACGGATCACCTTGAACTAAAAAGGGAAATACTAATTTAGGAAAATCTTAAGAAATGATAACACTTTGATCCCCTTTTATGTGACTGAAAAATGCATCCCATACTTGCATCCATCCTTTTGTGATTTTTGTGCCCGACAAAAATGCTCTTCTTATGATTATGATTTGTGGATTCTGTGTCATTTTGAGCGTTGAAGACGTCAAGCTAGCAACACTTGACTAGAAGATTCAGGATAACGTTATGATATTTTAACCATACTATATTGATAAATTATATGAAGATAGCAAATCATGCATATTTGGCGACTTATTTTCTTATATTTTTTGACAAGTGCATATTTGATCACTTTTCTTCGCAAGGTTCATTGCTCGATGCTAGCTGCAGCTCCAGCAAGAGAGGATTTTTTTTTTTTTTTTTTTGAAAAACAGGAGGAACTATATAATATATATTCTTTCTGAACGGGGAGATTTCATTTCAAAATAGAGAATAAAACCAAATTGCAATTTGTGAGATCTACAATGCAGTCCAAGTATCAGTTGACAAGGAAAAAAAAAAAAAAAAAAAAAAGAGGCCAGCTTTTAGCTAAAAAAATTTCGGAGCTTTTGATGGATCTGCATCATGGTAGCTTCTTAAAAATTTATACATTTGCTTCCCTGTTTTTCAACTAATCGTACAACTTTTCAATACTGCTATTTCATATTAAACGCTAGAAGGTAAAATTACCTAGATCTTTAGAAATGACAGTTAATTTTGTCCCAGAAATTGGTTCTGCTTCGACCAAAATTATTGCAACATATTACCATTTTGTTTCCTTTTCTCTATCCCTGAGGCCGCATAAAGAAATGCTTGCAAATAACCAATACAATGGTTTTTTACTCTCAAAACTTAAAATAAACATATTTATTAGTGATAACCCCCACGAAGCACTTCGATTATAAATATTTATCCAGTCACTGAAGCTATGTATCTGCTACATCGCAGGCTATTTAATTGTCAAAATTGAATTTCTCACCATGCTTCACAACAGCCTTCATATGGCACAACCATTCGGCAAGGAGGTGCGAAATGGTAGGAGAAAAAACACGCGCGCGCATAAATTTAATTAAAAGCTCCAACTATTGCGTGATCCTTTCACCAGCTGCACAATTGTTTCTTGATTTTGGAATTGTAAGAGGACCTACCACCCTTGTCTTTGTAGGAGTTTCTAGAGGCAACGGTCTTCCGTCCTCTGTGAGCTGCTGCTATGGCATGTTTCCTCTGCTTGTTTAAGCTCTTTACCAGTCTTTCGTCGTTTTCATCCGTGGACTGATCATCCTGAAAATGAAAATAATTACTTAGAAGGACTTTGCATTCCATAATGCAATATCAAATACTGCAACTGACTCTATTTTGGCACTTAAATTAAAACGAAACCGCAGATATTGCATTTTCAGTTTCTCATGTAGATTTGTTTGTGTTCAGTTTTATAATGATGTTGGACAAATACCCGAAAATTGTTATTGGAATACACGTAAAGGCTCCCCAAGTCAGAACATTACTAAAGTTGCTTCAGACAAAAAGCTTCGTTGGACAAAAAAAAAAAAAAAAAAAAAAAAAAAAAAAAAAAAAAACTTTGTTGGAAAAAAAAAAAAAAAAAAAAAAAAAGAAGAAAGATAATATACCTCGTCAATTGTGTTCTGAGTATCAGGTCCGCTACTTGGACCTGCTTCACATTGTTGTCTGTCTTCCAGTTTATCTGCCTTTGCACAATCTAACGTTGGCTGTTCCTGAATTAATATTGTACCGAGTAAGAGATGGAAACATTGAATACCAAAGTGCATAAAAAGCAAGGGTTAATTATATAAATACATCGTCAGAGTTTCCCTAGTTTCAAGCATTTGTGTAACTTGACATAAACTCCTATATAGTTTTCTTCCTTCATTTAATGGATGGCAATGTAACATTTTTGAAAACTTCGACTCCACGTGAAACAATTCATTATAAATTAGAAACATTATCTTATGCACATATATTCTTGAATAAACTGGCCTCTGACTTAACATAACAATTCTACCTGATCTAGCAAGTGCAGAGAATCAACACCTTCGACGATTTCTTCATTAGTACCAGAGATGGATATGTCGTCTTCTGTTCCTTCATCACTATCACTAGCATCCTCCTCTATACCTCCTTCAATGAACTGGAGATTAAAGTATTATATTGAAGAACGCACAAAAGAAAAAAAAATAAAAAGTATAGTATTTTCTCCCAATATAAATATACTGGATCTCTTATTGTTATTAATTAAAATACACCATAAATGAACACTCAGCTATGGCTGACTAAAACAAAGATGTAAAAATATGACTGCGACCTCATAACCTCAAGAGACATAGGGGGAAGGGAAAAAAAAAAGGAAGCCGCCTCATAATTCTGCTAAACAAGATTATCACAGAGGTGAAGACCAATTAACACTACTGATATACGGGAGATGCTGTAAATTAATGTTATGCAGATTTCATTATTTAAGCCTGGTTCATTTCATGACTCAAGTCATATTACTATAGTGTTTTCTCTCACATAAATTCAAATTCAACTTTTTTGCTGCAGTTTTTTTCTCTCACACAACCCAAGTCATGACTTTGAGTTGTGCAAATGAACACACCCTTTGTAAACCAATTAACAGTAGGCCAACACTTCAAAATAGTTGTGTATCTTAGCCAAAACCTTGTATTTCATAAGTGGTTCAGACCAGAATTGCTAACATATTCTAAGCAATCCTGATTGACTTAATAGCCTACAGGGTTGAGAATCAAAACCAATTAAAATTACTCCAGTACAACCCGACCCCCTTCAAATGAAGAAAAAATAAAAAGAATAGAAAGAAGAAGAATATTGCGATCCAACTCTATTCCCAACTTTTTAATACTAACCTACATGGCACATGAGTTTTCATTCTTTTTACTACCAATGGTTATATTCTCTAAAGTGATATTCATATCTTCTAGCCGTTCCAAAACTAGAAAAGATCAAAAATAAATCCAAAAATAAATCCAAAAATAAATCATACTTCAACATACCACCATTTCCATACCTGCTGAATGTCTTCCTGATCCTTTCTTGTAAACCCACTGGCAGCAAGTTCCTTGTCTAGAAAACCAGCATCTTTGGTTATTGAAGAAAAGCAAATTCGGCCACTTTCGTCTGTATCAGCCTCTGTGCCATCAGCATCAACTGTATGCTCTTCAAAAGTCAAATCAAACCTGAGAAAGAACAAAATGGAGGAGACAGAGAGAGTCAGAGAGATAAGAAACTCGACTAAGGTGATGAAACATATTTCCTACCCATACTGTACACACTACGTATCAGGAGTTCCACAAAATCAATAGATACAAAGGAAAAACAAAATACTTGAACAGAAATGTGAAAGAGCATGGTGATCTCACTACTCTGGACTATTTGGTTGGAAAGAAATGACAGGATTTTTGAAGAAAGATAGATGGAGACTGTGGACCTTTTTGAGAAAGCAAAATACTCAGCTTCCTTTTGGACATCGACTAACATGGCCGTTTTTGAATTGTAAAGATTTGTCAGGGTTGTTACTTGCTATGAAATTTGGGGGTTTCTTGTTACTTGCTATGAATTTTGGGGGTTTATTGATGGTTTATGATCTTTCTTTAATTTTCTCAGTTGTTTTCTTTTCGGTTGTATCTTTTCTTCTTTAAATTATATATATATATATATATATATATATATATTTGAAGGTCTCTTGTCCTCTCTATGTACTTATGTACTGAATAAAAATATAATAAGATGAAGTTTCTACTGTTAAAATAAAAATGATTTCAACTAAGAAGATTAAAAGAAGTGTTGCTAATCAGCATAAAAAGATGATAAAGTTTCAAAACTTAGGCCCCATTAACTTCACTAATTCGAGTTTAGAATTTGAGTTTTGCTACAGTAAAAAGTTCTCAGAAACAGTCACATCTAACTTTTTTACTACAGTAAAAAGCTCTCACATAAAATCACATCTCAACTCGAATTACAAACTTGAATCAGCGAAGTGAACGGGTCCTTAATTACTACTAGAGTCTAGAAAAGATAAAGTTCATATATACTATTAAAAAGAGTAATCACTGACCTCTTTCTGAAAAACTTGAACACGCATTCCACATCACGGTCAAAGTACCTGAAAATGGAATCAATTAGATTTAGATTAAAACACAAAAAATATGGCTTTCAAGAATGATAACTGGATAACAAGAAATCACCCGGAGACAATAATAAAACAAAATATGACCAATAGTGAAATTTAGTAGCATAGTGTCTTACATCTGTGCATTGCGATGGGATATAGAAACCATTTGTGGAAAATCGATCATGGTGACTTTCTCATCATCATCAATCTACAAAGAAACGTCCCAAAAGATTATCTCAAGTTTACAAGGAAGCATAAAGGAGGAAAACCAAACGTTATGATATTACAATGCAATAAATGAATTTACAAACATGAGAAAAGTGCTACTAATGGTTTTTTTTATTTTATTTTAAAAAAAGCAAAAACAATTACAATTACAAGATACAGGACATCACACAGGTACAAAATTGAAAAGTAAAAAGAATCATAAATTGCCATGTTAGCATACCATTAAGTTGAACTCATTGAAATCGCAGTGAATGAGACCATGTTCTGCCAGTCGAACAATAAGACCGATGATTGTTTCAAAAACCACCTCTGGATTTTGCAATTGCCTTACCTGCACACTTCATTGGGTGAAAATGGCCAACAAATATACCATTGTCAGCTCATTGAAGCAATATACGTTTATTTTTCATTTTGTTTCTCGATAACACTATAAATAGTAAGTGCAAAAGCAAAGACTTGAAGATGTCCCGACTTAAGCTTAATGACATAGTAGGACTTCTGCTTCCTTAAAGTTCAGTTTTGATCACTGTCTATATTCTTTAAAACGTAGTTCTACAGGTTATGGTGATGCTGTGTTTTGTTTCTCCCCAAAACAAATAAAATGTGCATTTGTCCGATACAACGACCATCCATCCATCTTACGGATTTACAATGAATAACATTCCCATCTGAAAAAGCTATTCAGAGGGGGGAAAAAGTTTAATAACAAAGGAACACTTACAGAGGATACCCTTGAACAAGTGACATAACCACACAATGCCTATTACAATCAACAGCATCAGGAACAGGAAAACCATGTTCTTGCAAGGCCTGCCCAAGAAAAGTTCAAGTATCAGGTCATGACAACACTAAAAATTCCACAATAAATTCTAAAAGATAGCAGCTCGGAACCTTCATAAAAGCGAATTCCTTTAGGGCAGCAAGGCGGGACAAATAGAGCCAATTGTAACTTCTTCGATGTTTCAAGTAATCACGCTTAGCTTTGACAGCCCTAAAAGAAACTCTGCCAAGTCGGTGCAATTTCACCGCTAGCAATGTACCATCTTCGGTTGCGACTTCAAAGATATCTTAAAAAAGAAAAGAACTGTTATTTAAAAACGTTTGTCGAATATGACCAACATGTCAAAATTCTAATATAAAATAAGTACCGGACTCTTTTCCAACACCAATCTGACGACCAATAGAAACGAAGACCCCACGCTTGACCATAGTCTTAATTGCAAGAAAATCGTAACCGAGGTATGTGAGGCGAAACCCATCGTCTAGATACACACGTGTAAAATAATATGAGCGAAACCAAACCATTAATAGTTAAGGAAGACTTTGGAAAATGTCAAAAGGAAGAAGAAGTACTGACATTTGGAAGAGTCATGGTGCAACAGCTTATACTTGAGCAAATTCTTCAAAACTTTATACGTACCCCCGTGCCTACAAAAAAAAAAAAAGAAAAAAATCCAAATAGATAACATATAAAACAAGCTAGCAAAATTCGATGATCAAACATGAAACAACAATGGTAGAATGACAAAGACATACTTGAGACTAGCTATACGATGGATGAGCTCGGAAGGTACTAATTCGTGCTGAAAGCAAGGAGTCCAGGTAAAATTAACAAGATTTCATCAGTTAAATGATTACACAAAATCAAAAGACAAATAATTCAAAACTAAAATCCCGAAACAAATTCTACCAATAAATAAGAAAGACCGGTGAAAATCTGAAAAGGGGAAAATAAATAAGAAAAGCACCATACATTCCTCATTCCCATCTCGACAGCAGTAAGAACCCTAAAATCATCTTTTGACAAGTATCTGAGAACGTTCACATCCAGCTTCATTGTTGATTCTTTTCTGCAAAACCTAACCTATTGCAACTGAAAAATAAAAATAAAAATAAAAAATCAACTAATGTACAAATTAGATAGCGATCAAACAAAGTACAAGAAAAGAAAGAATACGATTATAAAATTTACTAATATTAAGGAAATTCCAACATAGAAGAAAAATCAAAACCCTAATCAGAGCACATAAACACAAATTCAGAATACTGCTAAGTCTACAAAAACACCAACAGAGGGCAAGGCTGTAAGACTGAAATCTCTGAATTCGGACTTCACAAATGCACAAATAAATTCAGAACAAGAAAACGAGATACCTGGAAATAAGCTGAGTTTTTTTTTTTTGGAGTAAAATTGTTGCGATTTCTCTTTTTCCGACGATGAAGCTTCTGCTACGATGGAGCGCGCTCCGAGTACGATAGTTATTGAGGCTGGCCGCGCCTACTTAACAACGGGCTTTATACTTTGGGGATGTTTGGTATGCAGGAATCAGTAGGAATCATATTCTCGAGAAAGTGATGGAGGGTAATATGATTCCTAAGAATAATACATTACTGTGTTTGATTCTATATTAGAATCTTTCTCAAATTCCTAAATATTACATTACTGTATTTGGTTGTTCCAATGGAAATAGATCCATATCTGCTCATTGATGGAAACAAAAGAAATAAGCATACTGAACATAAAATTAACTCCATAGACGAATCTTCTAGTTCCATATTTCAATAGTGCAAGTGTTCAAGGGAAAAAAAAATCAAAGATTGAAAAAAGCATTTAACTTGAAGCATTACTGTATTACACGGGAACCAAACTAGACGAATCTTCTAGTTCTAGCTTTGAAGCATTTTACTTCTACAGAACCAAACATAAGGTTCATTCTTCAGATTACAGAACCAAACTAGACGACTTGGGTGGTGCTTTTTGGTTGATGCAGGTTGTGTCTCAGGCGGCAGATGCAAAGAAGGATGGAGCTTTCTTGAGAAAATACAGGGGTTCAACTTATGTTTTAGTCGTGGAGATAAAGAGAAATAGCAAGGGACAAAAAATCGATGGGGAGGAAAACAAAAAAGGATTGTGTTAATTTTCAAGTTCTGGTTCAAACCCAGATGCGCCGATGGGGAGAAATAGCAATCTATGCAATCGATGGGGAGAAATAGCAAGGGACAAAAAAGGATGAAAAAATCGTGGCCGTTCTGGTTCAAACCCAGATGCGCCGACGACGTTCTGGTTCAAACCCAGTGAGATTTTCAAGTTCAGAACAAAAATTAACACAAATCGGAAAGTTCAGATCAAAAATTTTTCACAGAAAAAGGAGAAAAAAAGGAATCATACTCTGGTGGTGGCGGCAGAGGAAAGTCCGGCAACGGCGTGGTGGATCGGAAGGCGGCAGCGGCGTCCTCGACGGAAGCGGTGCTGGGTCTGGACGAGAGAGAGAGATGGGTGAGA